GGGGTTGGACTAGATGCCCCACAGAGGTCCCTTCCAACCCCTTCTATTCTGTGATTCTGTGATTCTGTGATTCAGAGGGTCCTTTTGAAGAATGACATGAAGGAAGCATCTATCTGAAAAGAAAGGAGTCTATGCTTTCATTTTATCCACTCTTGGTTGGCTGGGTGGGCAGTGGGAGATGGGAATGTATTTCTCTGTTCTTCAGAGTCATGAGACCCCTGTTCTCATTAGCGCTTGTCTGAGCTCCTCGTTAGCCCCTGCACACACAGAGATGTCCCTGGGCAGTGCCCCACTGCCAGGAGATGTCTGGAGGGCAGAGCTGAGCACACAGTGGGTTGGATGGGCTCTGCGAGAAAAGACAGGGAGGAGAAACAGCTCCCAGAAGGGACAGGCTCCAGGTAGCAGAGACATGGGCAGAGATGAAGAAGGATTTGCTCCCAGAAACACCATGGGAAGGGGGATTCGGGCAACTCCCTGCCATCACCTGCAGTGGAGATGCCTCTCTCAGAGTGAACCCGTAATCTCTTCACCCACGTCTGTTTTTAAGGCTGTGGCTGTTCAGTCACTTTCTCTGCGGCCTCACCCCTCCTAAGGGGAAATTACCAAAAACCCATCTGTCTGTCTTTCTCCTGGCTCCATCTGCAGCAGCACTGAGACATTTCTTCCTTTTTCGTCTCCTGTCCTTGCTCACCTTGTTCTTCCCACTGGACCAGAAGGCTTCTCTGGGTCCTGCCATGCAGATGTATCAATGGGAGCAAAGCGTCCAAACCCTCCCATAACCAGCAGGCGCAGGGCAACGCAAACGAACAGAGTCTGCTTTCAGGACACCCCAAATGTAGGATATTTGACTTTCCCTGGGGGTTCCTGCTGGGCTCCAGCCTGCCCCGCGGAAGCAAACAGCTCCCCTATGAAATCCCAGAGTTATCTAGCAGTGCCATGGAGAAGAGACTTTGGTGCTAAGGCCATGGGAATGCTGCTCATCATCTGCATGTGGGCAGCTGTAATGAGCCCTCTGTGTCCCTGCCTCGGAGGGGAGAGTTGAGATCCTCCTCAGGTTCAATGGAACGGGGTGAGAGACTTGGCCATCTGCACTTGGAAACTGGATTCCTCTGCTCTCAGCAGTGTCCATTTTGCACTCAGGGGAACATGTGGGGGCAGTTGACCTCCAGCTGCAAGAGGTGCCAGCACAGGGCAGCTGAGATCAGGCCTTCCAGACAGACCGGCTGTCCTCACGCTGCACTAAGGGACAGTCTCTTTGCCTCACAGGACCCACAGGAGTTCTGCTGAAGTGCAACACAAATGCCATTTCTGCCTAAAACCACTCCTCAGGTGTGTTAGGGCAAGTAGAAGAAGAAGAAACAAAACAAAATCCCCTCAGCTCTGCTCTGCATTTGGGTGAATTGAGAGCAGGAACACTGAAAAGCTCTTCAGTATCACAGGTAGATTTACTCTGAGCTGACCCTGTGTTCCTGAGTGTTGCTGCATGGATTGACTCTTGACTGAATCCTGCAGAGCCTCCAGCAGAGCCCCCTGCTCCAGTGACATCCTCAGCCAGCACCAACCAGAGCACGTGAAAGAGACCTGCCAAAAGTCTGCCTGAAAGGGGAGAGGTCTTTTGATGATATCTGTGGGAAATGGAAAGTATTCTGCGTTGAGAAATCTGACCTAACTTAATTATACCTTTTCCTCCTTTAACAGTTCTCGTGCCCAGAGACAGCAAATGCCCAACAGCAGCTCCCCCTCCTGACATTCACAGACACGCGGGATCTGCAGCTCTTGCACTTCTGGCTCTTCCTGGCCATCTACCTGGCTGCCCTCGTGGGCAATGGCCTCATCATCCCTGCCATAGCCTGTGACCACCACCTCCACACCCCCATGTACTTCTTCCTCCTCAACCTCTCCCTCCTCGACCTTGGCTCCATCTCTACCACTGTCCCCAAATCTATGGTCAATTCTTTCTGGAACACCAGGGACAATTCCTACTGGGGTTGTGCTGCCCAGGTTTTCTTTGTATTTTTCTTGTTTGGTGCAGAGTATTCTCTTCTCACCATCATGGCCTATGACCGCTATGTTGCCATCTGCAAACCCCTGCAGTACGGGACCCTCCTGGGCAGCAGAGCTTGTGTCCACTTGGCAGCAGCTGCCTGGGGCAGTGGGTTTCTGCATGCTCTCCTGCACACTGCCAACACATTTTCCATACCGCTTTGTCAAGGCAATGCTTTTGACCAGTTCTTCTGCGAAGTACCACAGATCCTCAAGCTCTCCTGCTCACACTCCTACCTCAGGGAAGCTGCGCTTCTTGCTTTTAGTGCTTTTCCTTTTTTAGGATGTTTTGTTTTCATCGTGGTGTCCTATGTGCAGATCTTCAGGGTTGTGCTGAGGATCCCCTCCGAGGAGGGACGGCACAAAGCCTTTTCCACGTGCCTCCCTCACCTGGCTGTGGTTTCACTGTTTATCAGCACTTCACTTTATGCCTACTTTAAGCCCCCCTCCATCTCTTCCCCATCCATCGATCTGGTGATCGCTGTTGTGTACTTAGTGGTACCTCCAGCACTGAACCCCCTCATCTACAGCATGAGGAACAAGGAGCTCAAGGGTGCTCTGGTGATACTGATGACTGGATTTTTTCAGCAGCCATAGACTGCCTGTTTTCCTCTGCAAATGTCTCCAAGTGTTGGTGACAACAGGTCAAGTCTGTCTTCTCTTCTTTACAATTGTGCTTTCTGTTTGTGATTTTCTTGTCTTCAAAGATATGTTATTATTCATCCCCTCCTACTTAGGTATCAACCTCACTTGTGTGACCCAGAGACTTTGTATTAATTGGAAGTATCTTACTGTATCTAAGTGAATTAAATGAATCTACAGCAACTTCTGTGTCTGAGATCCATCCCCAGGATAGAAGAAATGAATGGGAAGTGAAAACACCTTTCTAGCTGCAACAGATCATGGAAGGCTGGTCTGTGCCTGCAGCAGTCAGAGCTCTTGAGAACCAGAATGGCCAGGGCTTTTGTGCTGGCCTGGGGAGACAGGATGCCATGGAGGGGCTGCAAAGCTCTCAGGATCTCCTGCAGAGGACAGCAGGGGACACAGGGTGCCTCCTCTCCTTTCTGCCATGCATGAATCCTCATCTCTGGGGCTGAATCCTCTCTGTCTCCCAGCAGCTGCTGTGCCCTTCCGAGAGGCTGAGGCTGTAGAGCGACTGCCCAGAGCACCCTGCGATGGGCACTGCTGTGGGTCCCGCCCAGACTGGGCTGTGCTGGGGAGAGGACAATGGCAGTGGAAAGAAGGCAGGGGAGGTGGGAGAGTTTGGAGGGAACTGGGCTGGACTGGGAAGTACCTGGGAGAGAAAACCATCAGTGTATAACTCGTGCTGCGTGACCATGCAGGGGGAAGACTCACAGCAGGGGGTTTGCAGTGCAGAGCCAGGGCTTATGGAAGGGCTTGAAGACATGCGGGTACAGGAGAAGGAGGATGGTCTGTGCCCTTGGTGGCATGAACAGACTAGGAAGGTGGCCCAGAGGCCTTTGTCACCACTCAGCCATTGGCTATTTGTCACTGCCCGCTTCCAGCACTGGCTGCTCACTGCAGGTTTCTGGGTAAGTTTTGTTGTAAAGACATCTCCACCCTCCTGCTGGGCCACACTTTTGGCCTAGATCCTGGCAGACCGTGGAGCAGAGCTGTCTTTGAAACCCCACGTATTACACGGCCTCTCCAGTAGCTTGGAGAAGCTGCCTAACAGGAAGGCCATGGGACAACAAACACCAAGGACTGCTGTGGGCATCATTTCAGGGGAACTATTCCCCACTCTGAATGGACACTGTCCTGGGCTGTGCCTGCTCAGTGGGTCTGTGGGACCATATGTAGAGATCAGTCCTTGCTAGACAAAGAGTGCGAGCTACTGAATCTGCTGCTTTTGCCCTAATATTTCAGGGGTTCACCCAGACATAACTTTCCATTGTGCCTTGATCCTTCCCACAGCAGGGCAGGAATCTCAGGCATGTTTGACAGATTACCTTGGAGTCTATCACAGGCCTATGTTATTCAAAAACAGATGTTCTACTTGTTGAGCACACAAGAATGAACAATGATTAGTATGCTACATGTGTTTTTGACACCCCAGCTGCAAGTCACTTGAGACTGTTCACAATCCTCCTTGCCAATCTTCCATTATCATCCCACTTGCAGCATCTGACAATCCAACAGCACACACCATCTCTCCTGCCCTGAAAGATTGTTATGGACAGAAGGTGACCGCAGTCATGGCTAAGTGAACTCAACGAACAATTTAGAGGGATGGCCCATATGACAAGGAGTGTTATCTCTGTGTGTAGATCAGAAGACAGGAAAAGTGGTGGTAATTTATTGGGAGGTGTGGGATGTGAGCGTGATGTAGATGGGATAAACTAAGGGATGGATACAGTTCTGGTTTCAGCTGTGTCTCACTCACAATTTCTTCCCCTTTACCTTCCTTGTACCCTCCCATGCAAACAGCCCATCTCTATTTACAGCCTTCCTCCCTGGCCCTAGTTTGGATTTCTTTGCACGTTCATTTGTCATTTCCAAGCTTGTCACCATGGCAATTCCTCCCTTGGTCAGCAATTCCTTTGAAGAGCTATCTCCTTCTTTTCTGGCAGTGTCCTGCAATTCCTCATGCTGCTGTCTTGTCAGAGGCACCACAAATCTGGTACACGCACATCAAATGCTTTTAAATTAGAGCTTCACTCTGAGGGGGATTTTGAGAAGCTGTTAGTTTTGGCAGTAGAAACCTCATGAAGTTTTAAAAGAAGTTACAAGTCATTTGGTGGGGGAGCATAACTCAGAAAAATGTGGGCAGGTGTGGACCTGAACAGCTCAGGAGTGACCCTGAGGAGGAGGGCCTGGTCATGCCAAGGGATGCCATATGAGCAAGTGGTGCATGTTCAAAGCGAATAAGGCCAACCGCATACAGGCCTGTGTTTGGAGGAGCATAGCTACCCAGACCAGAGAGTTATCACTCCCCTTGACTCAGCACTGGTGTAGCCACATCTGGACTAGTGTGTCTGCATATGGGGCTCCCCATTCTGGAATAATGGGGAGGAACCAGAAAGGTTCCAGAGGAGTTCTGCCAGGATGGCGTTTACGGCTTCTGTGGAGAGGCTGAGGGCCCTGGACTTCTTTAGTCTTGTGGAGGCTGAGGGCACTAAAGTAGTAGCCTGCATCTGTCTGAAGGGTTTTTCAGAGATAGTGGATCTTTTCCTGGTAGTGAGAAGGGAAGGAAACCTTCACAAAATGCTGCTTGGAGTGTCCACACTAGAGGTGAAGAGAAAGCAGTCTCCCTCAAAGGGTATTCTTGTTGTGTAAGAGGTCACCCAGAGGGAGTCTGGATCAGCCCATGGATTTAAATTTCAAGGAAAAACCAGTGAGAGTGGAGAGACATCAATTAATGCACGGAAAGGCTGGGGTGAGTGCTGGGTAGGAAAAAAAGATGTGTGACTACGGGCTGCATGGAAAGAAGTGCGGGCATGGGACAGTGCAGGACAGCCTGCAGTAGAGATGGCTAAAGACTCTGGCAGGGCCAAAAGTTTCAACAGGACCGAGAGCTTTGTCCCCTTTGCCATGGCAGTTGCCTCTACCACTGAGTCCTACCGGGAGAAACTTTCTTTTGAGGCTCTGAACTCTGTTCCAGCATTGCATCTTCTTTGGGAGGCTAAGAGGTGCTGCAGAATTTCCCCACACTTGTCATTGCTCACCCACACACTCAACTGTCCCCAAGCAGAGCCCTGAGACACACGTGAGGGACAGGATCTTTCTTCACAGGGCCTGGGGCTCAGGAAGCCTTTCTGCTTCCTAAAGAAGACCAAGGTTTTTCACAGCATTACAGCCACCTACTCAGTGCCTTTGCCTACCTGCAATCATGGCCTCCAATTCTCCGCTCTAAGGAGTCCCTGGGGAGGCTTTGTCAGTAATGGCTCTCAGTGGGGCCAATCAGTGCTTCCAGGTACTTTGATTTTTATTGCTGACTTCTTGAGCAGTTTTTTCAATCTCCTCTCAGTGTCTGAGGTTCATGGACTCGACACCAAATACCCCATGGGGCTTATTAAAGTACAGAAAGTGCTAAGCTAACAAGCTCCTGTAATTTCTTTGAAGTCTTCAAGACTTGTACCACTAACTGGAGTTTTTTCATAGTGTAGATAAGGAGGAAGATGTCATACTGTGCCAAATAAAAATCTTTATTTATTTTAAGGGATATTTTTAATTGCTTTTCAGTTTACAGATGAAGCGGTAAAACATTCTCCAAGTTATATTGTTTCAGGGTGTCTCGTCAGGAGGGCTGGACAGGTAGGAGAAGCAGTCCCTTGAGGTCTGACACTCTATGGACAACTTTACTCCTCACCACCCCAACCTCAACATTTCTCTCATTGGCCACCTTGGGCTTGTGTCACTGCTCTTTGCATCAGACTCCTTCACTCGTCTCTTCAACTGGATGTTACAGCTCCATTGCACCATCTCCCACCTCCTCTCCTTAGAGAGCTGGCTGCACACAGGCATGGCAGGGATTTTCCTATTTGCAAGAAAATAAAAATTAAAGCATATTCAAGTACCACAAATAAAACACACTCTGCAATTACATGGTAATTACAATCTGCCTCTAATGAGGTTTCCTTCATGTAAGGCATAATCTTATGAGAAATATTGTAGCTAAGTAGAGGGAAAAAAATAGTTATAAACATAATTATAGAGTCGGCTAAGGAGACAATTAGACTATTGAAAGGCAGGCAAACTTTTAACTCCATAATGTGAAAACAGCACCTTGGTGCGTGACAATAATCTGAATGAACAAAGAGTAAAGGGAGGAGAAAACTGGAGAATAATCGAAAGGGCCTTTGTCTAGGCAGCCTGCATCTTGAAAAAATTACTTTGGAAATAGTGAAGACAGGTTAAAATATATGAAAAATCAGAGAAATTCAATACACCGTTTAACAGGCAGAATCGCGGTTATGAAGTTACAGGGGGAGATGGACATTTCTTTGGAATATCTCTTTCAAAACTTCCTGGCATTGGCCAAGGGCTCTTGTGAGTGAGGAACAAGGCATTGTTGTGCCTGTTGTTGAAAGAGGTCGGAAAGTCAACCCAGGGAACCCCAGGCTGTACAAGGTCACTTTGGCATTTCTGTGCACCTAAGAAAGCAGAACATGTCCGAAAGAAGTCAGCATGGGTTGATGATGGGTCAGTCATGACTCTCAAACCTGATCGCCGTCATGATGAAGTATCAGCATTTGTGCATGAGTAAAGAACAGTGGATGCCATTTTTGACCCTTCTGACATGGTTTCCCTCAATGTTGTTTTTCCCAGGTTAGGCCATCAGAGTCTGGATGGGTTGACAAAGAAATGGGTAAACAAACAGTTGGATGATCATCTGAGAGAGCAGTGGTGAAGGAGGCATCCCCTACCTGGAGGCCACAGGGATGTACTGGGGCACTGTGGGGCAGCAGAGGGAATTGTCCTTGACTCCTCACGCTTTTCTTCCCAAGCTCCACTTCACTCCTAACTCCTAACACCCAAGTGTCATGGGGAGGATGTGGAATGGGAGTGGCAGTCAGTTCATAACACTCTGTTTCTGAAATTCTCCATTGTG